CACATACCACTTCCTGAAATTCAGCATTCAGGGCTGAAATGTCCTATGACTGACCAGGGCTGAGAGAAAGGGGCTGAACTGATTTCAAGCATAAAGAGGGTGAGGTGTAAAAGCAAGTGTCCTGGGATAAAACAACTGATTCCAGCTTGTATTTGTATAGCCCTGCAGCTGAAAAAGCTGAGAGATGGAAGGTGAAAGCTGGCTGGGAAAGAAACCCTTGTACTCAGAGTCATTCTGCAAAATCCTGAGTGTGCTTAAGTAATTAAGGAGTGAAAATGTAACTGGCTGGTGGAAATTCAGTGCTGCTGTCACTGGTGAACCTACAGGGCTGGCAATGGAGATACTAAGAAAAACTGTAGTGTGCACCAGTCCATGAGGGGCCATTGGTGAGAAGGAATGGGTTCAGCATCAACCCTGTCCTCATCATGAGCAGATTGAGTGGGATCATGTTCAGATCCCCATCTGCATCTGGACTCTCTTTATTGTGGCTAATGGTCCCATCCCCGTAGCATGGGACACCTGGTGGGGAGAGATAGTAGCTGACTCGTTTGTCCTCAGAATGTGGCATTCCAGCCATCCAGCCCATCATCAGTGGCTACACCCGGATTGTAAATGGTGAGGAAGCAGTTCCTGGATCTTGGCCTTGGCAGGCCTCCCTGCAGGTGAGAAGCTGTGGAAGTCACTGTGTTGACGCCATCCTCATTGGTTACTGGTGCCCTAATCTCCAACCCAGTAGAGCACAATGTCTTTCCTCCTGGGCTCCACCCCTGCAGTGATTCCCCTGCCCCTCATTCACCAAGCTCTCTCTTAGCGTCCTTATTGACAGAGTGGGTTACTGAAGCCTTTGGGGGGATGCTGGGGGCAACTCTAAGGTCTTACAGTCTCTTGCCTATTTTATATTGCAGGAGAAGAGTGGCTGGCACTTCTGTGGAGGGTCCCTGGTCAGGGAGGACTGGGTGGTGACAGCTGCCCACTGTGGAGTGACGTGAGTAGGAAGTGCTGCCCATTCACGGGCTATCAATAGGGGAAGGGGAAGGATGGTGTACTGGGTGCAGCATGGCTCAGCAGCCTGGCTGTCTCCTGCTGGATGCTTCCAAGGGGGAGAAAAACCGGTTGGGAGACCAGAATGCTGTGGACAGGACCACCCTGAGCAAGAGCATGCCTTAGCTTCTGTGAGATTGTTCCAGCTCCCTCTCCCAATGTGAGAAACTACCTCTGGCCCCCAGACATGACAGCTTAGCCAGGCAGCAGGGTCTGCTTTCTGCTAGACATGCCAGTGAGAAGAGTTCCCTTCTACATGGAGGCAGGCACAGCCTGTGCGGGATGCTCCAACTGTGTGCAGATGAAGGCTTCTTGGCAAGTGGCCCCTGGTGTGCTAGATACAGACCCACTCGACACACTGCCAACTGTGGCAGCTCCATTGACCTCAGGGGCATGTTATCAAGTCCTGATGGGATTAGCAGACAAGGGGCCATCATGGCAGCAAACCACTGAGTGCACATGGATCCAGTCCCATTTCCCCTGTCATCCAGTTTGGATTGTATTTGATGCCAATCAAACACCTCGCAAGAGCATCCTTGTTTATGGAAAAGAGGACAGAGGAGCCTCCACCTCCTAGGCTCCTGCAGTCAGATGTCCCCCTGCTTTGGGAAAGTCTCCCATAGACATTAACTGCCTTCTCCTCTGGCCTCAGGACATCCAATGTGGTGGTGCTTGGGGAACATGATCGCGGCTCCAGTATGGAGCAGGTACAGAAACTGGCAGCCAAAAAGGTGAGTAAGAGCACTTTACAGCACCAGCCTTGCTGCTCTGGCATTGTTGCTACAGGCAGGCTGGCTAGGGCAAACAGAAGAACAAACAGCCTAAGGCAGAAACCCCTCAGATCTCCTTGAGCAATGAGCCCCTGCGTGGTGTGGAATAAGCCTGCATTTTCGCCCACTCTAGGGACAGCCCCTTGTGGCCTGGGCGGTTGACCTGCAGCCTCAGTCCTGGATGTGGTCTCTCAGCATGAGAGCCCCATGTTGCGGGTGGTGGCAGTGGAACTAGCAAGAGCTGGGGACAGGGCAGGGCCCTGTGACCTGTACTGTACTCCCAGGGGGGCTCTGAGAGAGTGCAGCACATGGGTGCCCCTCTGCAGCCAGCCAGTGCAGTTGCCAATGGTGTTAAAGGGGCAGGGGCAGGGGCAGGGGCAGGGCTTGGACCCTCTCTCCTCACATGCTCTTTGTGCCCCCTGGCCCTGGGCTGTCCACAGTCTGGCCCTAACCAAGCAGTCACTAGTTGTATCGAGGGGGCAGCTAGTGGCCCTTATACACTGAGCTGCTTCTTTCCCACACAGCCTGCTCCCTATCCCTGTTTCCTGTGGGACTTGGTGCCAGACAATGCAACTCAGCTCCCAGCGTGCTGTGGGGCTGCACAAAGCCCATAGTTGGAGTCTGCCCTGCACAGGCTTTCCAGGGGCTGAAAGAGCTGATTCCGGGGTGCAGTGTGGGTGCTCAGATCTGTCCCAGGCCTGGAGGTGCAGCAGGGCTGGGCTACCCCACAGGTGCACCCCTGTTGGGCTGTGCCAGGGGCTGGAGGGCCTGGGCCTGCTGGTGAGAGAGGAGATGGCAGGAGCAATCTGTGTGCCCATCTACTTTTTCTTCACGGGCCTGTTTCTGTGCCTCAGGTCTTCACCCACCCAAAGTGGAACCCCCAAACCACTGACTATGACATCGCTCTCATCCAGCTGGCCACTCCTGCTAAACTCAGCAGGACAGTCTCCCCTGTGTGCCTGGGAGAAACCAGGGATCACTTCTATAGTGGCGAGCTCTGTGTCACGACAGGATGGGGCAAGACCCGGTATAACGGTATGTGCTGTCAGCTGGCTCTCTGCAGGGGAGGAGATGCCATGCCAGCTAGGAAGGTGCTGCTGGAACAGCCCCAAATGCTGCCCGCTTGGCTAGTGAAGGGTTTTGTAGTCATCCTTGCACACACAGAGGGAAGGCAGTGTAGTTAGACAGCAACCCAAGAGCCTGGGGGAGCAAGGCCTGGTTGTGGCCCTCCCACTACTGCTCAGCTAGCCTCCCTGGGCCTCCTCTTAACAGTTGGACAGTAATGTGCCCTTACGTATTTCGGGGGCTGGGTGTCTATAACCATTGATGTCAATCTAGCAGTTCCACCTCAAGGAGGAAAGCACCCAGCACCAGGCAAGTGTGGGTTTATGATGAACTGAGGGCTGAGCACCCTAGGGCTTGGGAGAAGCCTGGATCTGGGACCAGCCACTGTAGCCAGCCCTTCTCTTCAGAGTGAAATCCCTAAGCCTATCAGAAAGGCCAGAATCAACATGTAGCTTTGTGGCTTGGGCCCTTTTCTGGTGAAGAGGTTGGACTAGATACAACAGCACCCAGCTGTGGAGGGACCTGGCTGGGTGCCTGGGGCACAGCAGCAGTAGCAACTTCCAGTTGCCGCTGTGATTGCAATTGCAATTGTGTAGCTAGTGGCAGCAGACTTTTTTTTGTCCTTCCCAATTCAGGACAAAATTGTCCCATTCACCCTGCTCTAGTTATACTGGTGGCAGCACCCTACATGCACCAGTGAAAGACCTTGGCTCATGAGACCTTCCCTGGGAGTGAGGCAGGTCCATAGACTAAACTGTTGAGGGTACTGGGCATTGGGGTTGCAGATAGGGGATCAGGGTAGGTCCCTGGAGAAATCCTTTCCTTGGGGAGGGGCCCAACAAAGGGATGAGCTGGGGCATCTCTTCCTGTCTTACAGGGACACTGCCCAGGAAATTATGGGCTCTCTGAGTGTGGGGTGGGAGGAAGACCTATAGTCAAGGAAACTTGGGGCACTGTTAATAAAAGCAGCGTCTTCTGTTGGTGCCATATCAGGCCAGTATCCCTAAGCTATGGCAGAGCCCTCCAGCATCAGCAAGCCTAAGAGACAGGTGTGCCCCTCTGTGGAGTGAAACATCTGCAGCTTCGTGCCTGCTGACATGGGGAGATGTGATCCTACAAAGGAGGAAGGCACAAGCTGCTTTGAGGTTGGCCACCTAGGCTTCCACCAGCAAAGGAAGATGGGACTCCCAAATCCATTTGGGACCAGTGGGTCAATGGCTGGTCTCCAGTGCAGAGGGGAAGGTTCTCATCAGGGGGTTGCAGCTGAGAATTTGATGGGATGCCTGCCAGGATCTCACACAGTTCAAATGGTCTGTGCAGACACTGCACATGTCCGAGGGGGTTCCAGGAGCATGCCCAGATCCCATTCATCACATATGCCATCTTCTGGGGCCTCACCCCGAGTGTAACACCCATACCTGACCCATGTCACCCTGTCCTGAACCCTCGCTCATTCTGCTCCCCTTGCAGCTTTCCTCACCCCCAACAAGCTACAGCAGACAGCGCTACCCCTGCTGAGCAACCTTCAGTGTGAAGAGTACTGGGGCAACCAGATCACAAACCAGATGATCTGTGCTGGTGCAGATGGCTCCTCTTCCTGCATGGTGTGTATCCTGGGGCCTGTCCCTCCTGCAAGTGCCCAGGGACCCTTTGGGGAGCTCAGGCTTTCTTAGTTGGCTACCCTGTGCTGCTGCTAATCCTAGGGCGTAGCCAAATGCAACTAGTAGGGCTACTAGCCCCCTCCAGCCTCTTGCTCCCCTGGGTGAGAGTTGAGCCCATCACAGGGAGTAGGCCCTGCATGCCTGCTAAATAGGCTAACAGGGACATCTGTAGCTGACTGACTTCCTGACTGCTCCACTGCTGGGCTATGGCATAGGCTGTGAGGGGCATCAAGCAGGTGAACATAGGAGAGAGGAAGAGATGGGGGAGCCAAGGTTCTCTCGGCAGATCTCTTAGGGGGGCAGTGCTCAACTGGTGGTCCACAAGATGGATCTGGCCTGCAGAGCCATGTCATCTAACCCATGGAACTCCCCATGGGTCTGGAAATTTGGTGGTGGGGGACCAGAGGCAGCATTAATTGCCAAGCTCACTGGCCACCAGATTTCCAGACATGACACCTGTGAGCTGGATTGTACTGGTGTGCAGTGTTGCAGTGCTGACCCCCTGCAGGATCAGGTCCACAGCTGACCTTGCCTGCAGGATCTGGCCCTCAGACCAGCCCTGTACTACTCACTCAGCCTGCAGGGCTGGCTAGATTGAGCACCACTGTCCTAGGTGTCAGGGGTATGGATACTTCCCAAGTCCATGCCTGGCTTCCTCTCTAGGGCCCCCTGAGCCCTCACTGGATCTCATGAGGTAATTGGTTCAGAAGGCCCTGAGCCTCAGTCCCTTCCTAGGCAAGCCTCCCAGTGACCAAGGCAAAGCTAGGCTGGGAGGGTATACTGAGCAGGGCACAGAGCAGAAAAGCCATGTCAGGAATTGTCCCTGGAGCAGGGTTGTGGGCGTGGAGATGGCAGGACAGAAGTCAGCTTCCTTCAGGCTTCCTGGGATGGGAATCTCCAGTGTGGCTCCTCTTGCATTACACAAGGACTCTTGCAGTGTGTGAGCTGCTCCTTAGGTTCCTGTTGACGTGTCAGCAGCTGGGGTGGCGCAGAGCTCCCTTGGGCCCAGTTTCTGAGTGCGGCTCTCCTGTCTGCTCTGCAGGGTGACTCTGGTGGCCCCCTTGTATGCCCAAAGAATGGAGCCTGGTACCTGGTGGGGATTGTGTCCTGGGGCAGTAGCAAGTGCTCCACCACCACCCCCGCTGTCTACGCCCGCGTGACTGAGTTCCATGAATGGATTGTCCAGACCATGGCAAGCAACTGAGCTGGCTTTACTGGGTCTGAGCCAATAAAAGTACTGTTTAGCCTCAAAGTCTTGGTCCTGTTCTCTTGCTGCACATTACTGAATCACACACTGCTCAGTGGATGCTGTTAGAGCAAACCCATCATGAGCCACACACTATTACCAGCCTGGAAGCTCTATGGCTCACCCAGCTCAGATATAATCTTCTGCCCCATTTGCCCCTTCTTTAGAAAAAAGATGCTCTGTCCCTGTTGTCCTGAAGCTGTTCAGTGTTCCTGTGGCTGTTTAACTCCACCATAGGAGTGACTGCATTTCAGTGGCAGAAGAATATCCTTGTGTACTGTCCATGGCTTGCCCAGTTGTTTGGCCATGAAGGCTGTAACAAAAATGCAGCCCTGCAGTGGATGATTTCCTACCCGCTCTGCCCTGTGTTAAGCATATGTAGCCTGTTTACAACCAAAATCAGACTCAAAGCAACTTTTTGCCCCCCTCACCTACTCCCTCATTCCTCGTCCCTCATCTGCTGGGCCTACCCACTTGTCTCAGTGACACATCATGCCACCATCCCAGTCTCTTCTTCCAGTCCTTCTGACGGATGCTGTAAAGTCTTCTTTACCCCAGGCCTACCCCCCCCCCCCCAGCACCCTCCCAAATTCACCCTTTC